TCGCAAAAGTGCGTTGCGAGCGTCGTCACAAGCGGTCGGAGACCAAGTGGTCATCAGTGTTGCCAGATTGGGCTATATATAGCCGAATTGGGCTACATTGTTTTCTAGTTGGCGTCAATATTTCGTGGTTGGCTATGTGGCTATTCTTGGGCTATTCCTAAAGGTGCGGCGAACTCTTGTCGCACCTCAGGTTCGACGTCGAACTTTGAGTTTCGACTAGTTAATTTTCGAACTTCTAATCAGTTAAAAAAAAATTGTTTCTCTTTTGGCTAGTCGAGAGGAGAGAGAGGAAGGAGAATGGCTTTAAACTTCTACAAACTTCGGGGTTTTCACAATGCGCAGAGAAGCAGTGCTAGCAGAGTTCAAGTGGCCTCCCCACAGTGCAGTGGAACAAATCAAACAAACAGATTGCACTATTACCACAGGCCCTGTAGCGCGTCGTCTACCCGGACGTAGACTGAACTCTCCAACGTAGCTTTGGTGCCCATTGTGAAAATTCTTAGGCATCGCCCACTTTAAGAAAAGAAACACAACCGAAAATAGCGTGAGCCGGGACGGGACGCTCATATTCTACACAAAGAAAAATAGACGGGTGGGTTATTGGTAAGAACCTTAGATATAGGGGGTTCTGGTTTGAAACTCAGAGTTCTGACTGTTCTGCTTCTGCATTCTGTTCTTTTACGGTATGATCATATCTCCCGGGCTTCACAATACAGCTGTCCATCTATGTTTTCTACTTCTGAAAACCTTCGAAAGATGGGTCATTGTTTCACAAATTTTCATCTTTCTGAAGCTTTTTTTTTTTTTATCAGGGGACGCAAAAAGTGGCGCATCTGAGCGTTGAAAAAGAGAACGTAACGTGTTGTTTCTCACGCGTATGAAAAATTGTCAATAAAAGGCTTAAAAACTGTTGTTTTTAGCCTTGGCTATTTTGGGCTATATTTATCTTATGGCTTTGGCTATATTTGGGCTATACCTCCCAGCTGTTTGGCGGTTTTTTGGTGGGACCATCTGGCAACACTGGTGGTCATTCGACCGCAGTACGTCCCCGCATCCACGAAGAAAACCCCAGCCAGTACGGGGCTTCGCGCCGTTCGGGAGCTGCTGTCTCCTGGCCTCGGCGGTTCAGCGGCGTCCATGGACCAGAGCTGCCCGTGAGTCGTCAGGCAGCCCCGCTACCCCAGCTGGCCGCGGGCCGAACCAGCGACCTGTCGTCTTCATGCGCCGCCGGGATCGATATCCGGCCACGGACTGCCCGCTTCTTCTTCAACGGGACCCGCGCGGTGGTCGGACAGCTCGCCAACCAGGGACCAGCCGTTCCCGTTCGTCTCGTGACAAGTACCAAGGGCCCCGCCAACCACCTTCTACCAAGAACCCTACACCATGGTGAGCGAGCTACGGCAACGCAGGGAACGTCACGAAGAACGTCGATTTATTTGTTACCCCATGCATGTGGGAGCCGGCACCGCCGCGTGGTTTTTGTTTTGTTTTCGAGAGTCGGTAGGTTAATTTTCATTTTTCTTAAACCTACCTCAGCCTTAAGGAGGGGGGAGTGTGAGAACCACGGGTTCCCCGCATCCCTATCTAGGCCTAGCTCAGGCAGGCCGTGGGACGTCGCCACGAAAGGGCGCCTCCCGGATGCCAGGGCGAAGCCGTATTCCCTGGTGGGCGGCTTTCCCTCGTCCTTCTCGGGTGATTTGCCTAAGGCAAATCACCCAAGGCACACCCCTCGGGATCATGACTTGGACGCGTCCGCCCCTCCGGGGAGCCACCTACATCCGACCCACCCCGGGCGCGTCCATTCCCGCAGGCTATATAAGACGGCCCTAATCCCACAGGGGGGACTCTCGCTGGGGGAGGCTCTGCTCGACGGTGCCTTCATATCCTTATCTGATCCTCCCCCTCCGTGATACTGTCAATAGCGGCAGCGCGGACTCCGACTGGTGATCCTGTCAAAAGAGACAGCGCCGTCATCTCCAACATTGTTGGCCTTCGGGCAAGCGTGTGGCATCTAAGTCAAATAAACACGTCTTTATCCGGACCCAAGGAACCTCCTGTGTTTCTAAGTGGTACCCCCATAAAAGGGGAAACCTACAATCCTTATAAAATTTTATACAATAGTTAAAAATAAATATGAAGGAATTAGAGGCAAAAGTTACTTTCCCTTATTTAAACATGCTAAAATTCAACGCATATCTATCTTCTATGTGAAGTGCATGTTGTTTAAGTGTAGAATATACTTCGTCTCATTCTACAATGCACTAAAGACAAAAGCTAGGGGCCGCCAGATCCAATCACGAGCCACTTAGAAATTGCGCTGCGATGCACGTATCGGTGTCCGCGTCTCGGATCACTGATGGGGATGGGCGGACAGTGGTTCGAATCGAATGGCACTAAGTGACTAATCAATTCTATATTGCAAAAAAAAAAAAAAACAGCCACGACATACAAGCTCCTTGCACTGTCGAAGCTATAAACATGATGCCGCACTTTTTCTTTCGGAGCATTATTCGTCCACCCTTAGTCAGTGTAAAGCATGTCATAGTTTAGCGTGGAACGTGAGTGGACCTGGCGGACCGTGCCTTGGGCTTTTAGTCCATCGTAGGATGAGACAAATTACATACGTATTTACTCGCATATTGGTCGATACGTCGTATAGGTCGACCCCCTAACTTCGGGACCCCCGAAAAAAAAAAAAAGTTGAAAAATATAATACCGGGATTCGCGTATTGGTCGACCCCCCAGTTTTGATGAGGCGATTTTTGAAAAACAGGTCGACCTATACGCGAGTAAATACGGTAGCTTGTCTTTATTTTTTTAAACTTATAAGTATGGTACCTGGAACGCGTCTCCGACTGGTGTGTTTACCGCCTCAAAAAAAGTGGTCCCTCGATTTCCGCATGATGACGTCATAGAAGTGTCATGCTGTCGCCGATCGCGATCCTGGCGGCGTCTCAACAGTTGTGGTGTGTTGTCAGACGCCTGTTCTGCTGCAGGTCGCTCTCCACCGTGACAGTTTACGGAAGTTAAAGCAGCCAGTAGTTGCGACGCCTGGGACTCCGTGACGACGGCGACACTCGCTTTCGCTCGTGCTTTTCGCCAGCATTTCTACGGCCAACCGCCAGGGTCGCGACAGGCAACAGCATGACACTCCGACTTCTGTGACGTCATTTGTTGCCACTTTGGGACCACTTTTGATGTATGGGCGAGATAGGACTCTAAACACACCAGTCGAAGACGCGTTCCAGGCACCATACTTATGAGGTACAGCAATATTTGAATAATATTCGGTCTAAGAATTTATCTACAGTCTATTAGTTGATTGAAACATTAACGAATATTATTATTTTGTCACATTCTCCTATAATGATTTAATGGTTATTCGGCAGTTATCACTGTTAAAGCTTGTTTACAAGATACACGTCATATCATATATTTGATTAAAAAAAACCTTTAAAGATTAATAAATTGAGCTGAACTGGGCTGAAATAATGCCAGTAATTTCCAAAGTGAAACTTGAAGGCTGCGACCTAATGAGGAGACATACCGATCTTATAAAATTCATGTGGATGTCATATTAAAGAATCATGAAACGATTTTTCAACTTCTTCCTTCTTATACTTCGTTTCAGCTTCCGTCCGAGCGCAGCCGAAGGCTGGGGGCCGGTTCGCCACTTCGAGAAGAGCATTCCTACGCACCACAAAGTAGTCCGCAAAAGTTTTTTTTTTTTTAATGACTATTTTGTGCGTAACCATTTTACAATATTCCAGATGTGTACTGGTGAGAATGATTTGCAACTAAAGCAATGAAATATCTGAAGTTTGTATTCATTAATATATGTAAATTCATGTGGCTTGGTGAAAACACGTACATCTGCTGGCAACACGGCGGCAGCGCTCGGTTTTTCTGTGTGATTTCGTTCCCGTAATGGCCGAATCATGTGCTTCGCTGCTTTCCTCACCGAGTCGCTTCAAAACGTCCTTTCACAAAGGCACGTTTGGGCGTCAGGCGCGAGAGGTGGTGATGAATGTCTATTTTCAAATTCGGCAGGAAACTCCGGCCGCGTCGTACCGTGAGGTTGTCAAACGAACATCCGTACTGACAGGCGTTGGACAGTCAACGATATTCTCGTGGAAGCAGCTCGCCCTGTCGACGCCAACAAAACCTGACGGTGCGTGTTCGCTGCCATCCCCGAAGCGACCCAAGAAGAGACCGTCTCCGGCAATTCCGGAAGCTCTGGACTCATTTCACCTTGACGGCTTAGAGGCATCATTCACGGCTACTTCCGCAAGAACGAGGGCCCTACTCTACTGAAAGTAAGACGCGTTCCTCATTGATTATTTCACGCGTTTGCTGCGTGCCATTCAGGTTCAGCGACCGTGTACTGTGCATACTAAAGTCGCAAGCATGCGAGCGAAGCCAAAGCAGCCAAAGTTCGAAATACGAGACAGCGCACCCTGGGTTTGCTCGGACGCGCGCTCGCGTAGTGCAAGCTATGTTCCAGACTGCATGCTCGTGCCCGTGGCAATCGCTCCGCTCGCACTTGTGCTCAAACGAAGCATAACAGTGTGGCCGAAAATGATAGGAATGTGTGCACTAAACCGGAAGAATTAAAAGATAAAAAATTTTGCAAGCAGGGTTTTTGCTAAGTTTGATGGAGGCAACGTTTCACTATCGGCTCAACGCTGAACCCCGTAAGGTTTGGTTTTGCCTCAATAGTGGTGCATAGCCAAAATGAGAAAAATATATGCTCTATATTTTTTTTTCAGTTGTCATAAATAATTAGGTTGCAGAAAGCAGAAAGTATGCCAGAGGTGATAGGATGCAAAAGTGTGAGAACTAATATCCATGACAGATTCCAATCACGAAAAGAAACAAACGGAACGCGTTTTTGCATCACGTTGCAGAAATGGAGCCATCAGGATACCAGAATCGCTGTTAAATAGGGCTCATTTTGCAGCAATTTATTTGCTATTGTGTCTGGTGGCACCATTTGTGAGATGTGGCACAAACAAAACATGTCTACCCTGTTGCTTTTTAAGGTCGGTGCACCTCATAAGTATTTCTTTTCTATCTTTTAGCTTTTGATACAGGTAACATCATGTCTTCAAGCTTTTGCATCCCATCATCACCCCAAGCAACATATTCTAGAATACTTCCAAGAAGAAGAAAATAGATGGTGCTATGGAGAATTTGGAATACTTCCAACTTTCTGTGATGCATAGCATTTTTTTACGTGCATAAACTACCTGGCCTCAAAGTTTTGTCTTTGAGGCCAGGTAGTAGACATGAAGACGTGTCTCATATCCAAATGTTTAGTAATTAGACCGACCTAACTTTTGTTGTCAAAACTGCACACCGTAACTTTTGTTTTTCTAATTCCTTACGCAGGTCTTGGAGGATGTTCACAGCGATGCTTCTTTCCCCAAGGTCAGCCGATCTACTCTGTGGAGAGCACTGCAGAATCTCGGCTTTCGATTCAAGAAGCGCGGTCGGAACTCCACCCTGCTGGAGCGAACAGACCTTATCCTGTGGCGTGCACAGTACCTGCGTGCAATCAAAGCATACAGGGCAGAAGGGCGGCCCATCTACTTCCTTGATGAAACGTGGGCAAATGCAGGGCACACTCGCTCCAAAGTGTGGACGGATACGACCGTGAAGGCGCCAAGAGACGCCTACAATAGAGGCCTCAGTCTTGGGCTCAAGAATCCATCTGGGAAGGGAGGCCGCGTCATCATCCTGCACGCTGGCAGCGAGGATGGCTTCGTGGAAGGCGCAGCTGAAGTGTTCCGGGCCAAGAAGGGCACCGGTGACTATCACCAGGAAATGGACGGCAAGCGATTTGAGAAGTGGCTCACAGAGAAGTTGTTGCCCAACATCAAGGCCCACAGCGTGATTGTCATGGACAACGCCTCTTATCACTCCGTCAAGCTCAATGCCTGTCCGAGCAGCAGCACACTGAAGAAGGATGTGCAAGGCTGGCTGACGCTGCACGGAGTTAGTTGGGACTCAACAATGCTGAAAGTAGAGCTTTTGAACCTCGTGAAAATGGAGAAAGTCAGAAGGCCGGAATTGGAGAAATGTCGCGTGGACGCAATAGCGGAGCAGCGTGGACACGTGGTTCTCCGTCTGCCACCTTACCATTGTGAGCTCAATCCGATTGAGCTAGTGTGGAGCCAAGTCAAGGGCTACATCGCAAGCCGGAACGTCACTTTCAAGCTTGCGGATGTGGAAGCGCTGACCCCAGTCGCTCTCCAGCAAGTGACTGCAGAAAACTGGTCAAGTTACGTGCATCACGCCATCGGAGTGGAGGAGCGAATGTGGGCAGATGACGGACTTGTGGACATCGCCAGCGACAGGCTCGTCATCGAAACCGATGAAGACTCTACCACAGACAGCTCGGATGACGAAGACATGGGTTGTGACACACTGGAGTGGTGAGTCGCCACACGTGCCCACACAGCCCGGGCCATGCTCGTCAGACTAGGAACGCCATGCTGCACTCGTCCTACTGGCAGGCAGCCTCCTTCTCCGACTGGTTGCGGACAGGTAAGAAAAAAGAGCGCACATTTTCACTCTCCCTCTTATAATAGTGGACCAGTCTCTTAACTTGAAGCGCTTTGTTCCTTTACCATGCAGGTTGTCTGTTCAACTCGTGTTTCCCTGGAACAACAAGATTGTTCGGGATCGCCGTGCCACGCTCGTCCGACTGACAAGCAGCCTCCTTCTCTGACTGGTTGCGGACAGGTAAGAGAAAAACAGTGCACATTTTCACTCTCCCTCTTATAATAGTGGACCAGTCTCTTAACTTGATGCGCTTTGTTCCTTTACCATGCAGGTTGTCGGTTCGGCTCGTGTTTCCCTGGAACAACAAGATTGTTCGGGATCGCCGTGCCACGCTCGTCCCACTGACAAGTAGCCTTTTTCTCTGACTGGTTGCGGACAGGTAAGAGAAAAACAGCGCACATTTTCACTCTCCCTCTTATAATAGTGGACCAGTCTCTTAACTTGATGCGCTTTGTTCCTTTACCATGCAGGTTGTCTGTTCGACTCGTGTTTCCCTGGAACAACAAGATTGTTCGGGATCGCCGTGCCACGCTCGTCCGACTGACAAGTAGCCTTTTTCTCCGACTGGTTACGGACAGGTAAGAGAAAAACAGCGCACATTTTCACTCTCCCTCTTATAATAGTGGACCAGTCTCTTAACTTGATGCGCTTTGTTCCTTTACCATGCAGGTTGTCTGTTCGACTCGTGTTTCCCTGGAACAACAAGATTGTTCGGGATTGCCGTGCCACGCTCGTCCGACTGACAAGTAGCCTTTTTCTTTGACTGGTTGCGGACAGGTAAGAGAAAAACAGCGCACATTTTCACTGTCCCTCTTATAATAGTGGACCAGTCTCTTAACTTGAAGTGCTTTGTTCCTTTACCATGCAGGTTGTCTGTTCGCCTCGTGTTTCCCTGGAACAACAAGATTGTTCGGGATTGCCGTGCCACGCTCGTCCGACTGACAAGTAGCCTTTTTCTTTGACTGGTTGCGGACAGGTAAGAGAAAAACAGCGCACATTTTCACTCTCCCTCTTATAATAGTGGACCAGTCTCTTAACTTGAAGCGCTTTGTTCCTTTACCATGCAGGTTGTCTGTTCGACTCGTGTTTCCCTGGAACAACAAGATTGTTCGGGATCGCCGTGCCACGCTCGTCCGACTGACAAGCAGCCTCCTTCTCTGACTGGTTGCGGACAGGTAAGAGAAAAACAGTGCACATTTTCACTCTCCCTCTTATAATAGTGGACCAGTCTCTTAACTTGATGCGCTTTGTTCCTTTACCATGCAGGTTGTCGGTTCGGCTCGTGTTTCCCTGGAACAACAAGATTGTTCGGGATCGCCGTGCCACGCTCGTCCGACTGACAAGCAGCCTCCTTCTCTGACTGGTTGCGGACAGGTAAGAGAAAAACAGTGCACATTTTCACTCTCCCTCTTATAATAGTGGACCAGTCTCTTAACTTGAAGCGCTTTGTTCCTTTACCATGCAGGTTGTCTGTTCGACTCGTGTTTCCCTGGAACAACAAGATTGTTCGGGATCGCCGTGCCACGCTCGTCCGACTGACAAGCAGCCTCCTTCTCTGACTGGTTGCGGACAGGTAAGAGAAAAACAGTGCACATTTTCACTCTCCCTCTTATAATAGTGGACCAGTCTCTTAACTTGATGCGCTTTGTTCCTTTACCATGCAGGTTGTCGGTTCGGCTCGTGTTTCCCTGGAACAACAAGATTGTTCGGGATCGCCGTGCCACGCTCGTCCGACTGACAAGTAGCCTTTTTCTCCGACTGGTTGCGGACAGGTAAGAAAAAAGAGCGCACATTTTCACTCTCCCTCTTATAATAGTGGACCAGTCTCTTAACTTGAAGCGCTTTGTTCCTTTACCATGCAGGTTGTCTGTTCGACTCGTGTTTCCCTGGAACAACAAGATTGTTCGGGATCGCCGTGCCACGCTCGTCCGACTGACAAGTAGCCTTTTTCTCCGACTGGTTGCGGACAGGTAAGAGAAAAACAGCGCACATTTTCACTCTCCCTCTTATAATAGTGGACCAGTCTCTTAACTTGATGCGCTTTGTTCCTTTACCATGCAGGTTGTCTGTTCGACTCGTGTTTCCCTGGAACAACAAGATTGTTCGGGATTGCCGTGCCACGCTCGTCCGACTGACAAGCAGCCTTTTTCTTTGACTGGTTGCGGACAGGTAAGAGAAAAACAGCGCACATTTTCACTCTCCCTCTTATAATAGTGGACCAGTCTCTTAACTTGAAGCGCTTTGTTCCTTTACCATGCAGGTTGTCTGTTCGACTCGTGTTTCCCTGGAACAACAAGATTGTTCGGGATTGCCGTGCCACGCTCGTCCGACTGACAAGCAGCCTTTTTCTTTGACTGGTTGCGGACAGGTAAGAGAAAAACAGCGCACATTTTCACTCTCCCTCTTATAATAGTGGACCAGTCTCTTAACTTGATGCGCTTTGTTCCTTTACCATGCAGGTTGTCTGTTCGACTCGTGTTTCCCTGGAACAACAAGATTGTTCGGGATCGCCGTGCCACGCTCGTCCGACTGACAAGTAGCCTTTTTCTCCGACTGGTTGCGGACAGGTAAGAGAAAAACAGCGCACATTTTCACTCTCCCTCTTATAATAGTGGACCAGTCTCTTAACTTGATGCGCTTTATTCCTTTACCATGCAGGTTGTCTGTTCGACTCGTGTTTCCCTGGAACAACAAGATTGTTCGGGATTGCCGTGCCACGCTCGTCCGACTGACAAGTAGCCTTTTTCTTTGACTGGTTGCGGACAGGTAAGAGAAAAACAGCGCACATTTTCACTATCCCTCTTATAATAGTGGACCAGTCCCTTAACTTGAAGTGCTTTGTTCCTTTACCATGCAGGTTGTCTGTTCGACTCGTGTTTCCCTGGAACAACAAGATTGTTCAGCATTGCCGTGCCACGCTCGTCCGACTGACAAGTAGCCTTTTTCTTTGACTGGTTGCGGACAGGTAAGAGAAAAACAGCGCACATTTTCACTGTCCCTCTTATAATAGTGGACCAGTCTCTTAACTTGAAGTGCTTTGTTCCTTTACCATGCAGGTTGTCTGTTCGACTCGTGTTTCCCTGGAACAACAAGATTGTTCGGGATTGCCGTGCCACGCTCGTCCGACTGACAAGCAGCCTTTTTCTTTGACTGGTTGCGGACAGGTAAGAGAAAAACAGCGCACATTTTCACTCTCCCTCTTATAATAGTGGACCAGTCTCTTAACTTGAAGTGCTTTGTTCCTTTACCATGCAGGTTGTCTGTTCGACTCGTGTTTCCCTGGAACAACAAGATTGTTCAGCATTGCCGTGCCACGCTCGTCCGACTGACAAGTAGCCTTTTTCTTTGACTGGTTGCGGACAGGTAAGAGAAAAACAGCGCACATTTTCACTGTCCCTCTTATAATAGTGGACCAGTCTCTTAACTTGAAGTGCTTTGTTCCTTTACCATGCAGGTTGTCTGTTCGACTCGTGTTTCCCTGGAACAACAAGATTGTTCGGGATTGCCGTGCCACGCTCGTCCGACTGACAAGCAGCCTTTTTCTTTGACTGGTTGCGGACAGGTAAGAGAAAAACAGCGCACATTTTCACTCTCCCTCTTATAATAGTGGACCAGTCTCTTAACTTGAAGTGCTTTGTTCCTTTACCATGCAGGTTGTCTGTTCGACTCGTGTTTCCCTGGAACAACAAGATTGTTCGGGATTGCCGTGCCACGCTCGTCCGACTGACAAGCAGCCTTTTTCTTTGACTGGTTCCGGACAGGTAAGAGAAAAACAGCGCACATTTTCACTGTCCCTCTTATAATAGTGGACCAGTCCCTTAACTTGAAGCGCTTTGTTCCTTTACCATGCAGGTTGTCTGTTCGACTCGTGTTTCCCTGGAACAACAAGATTGTTCGGGATTGCCGTGCCACGCTCGTCCGACTGACAAGCAGCCTTTTTCTTTGACTGGTTGCGGACAGGTAAGAGAAAAACAGCGCACATTTTCACTGTCCCTCTTATAATAGTGGACCAGTCTCTTAACTTGAAGCGCTTTGTTCCTTTACCATGCAGGTTGTCTGTTCGACTCGTGTTTCCCTGGAACAACAAGATTGTTCGGGATTGCCGTGCCACGCTCGTCCGACTGACAAGTAGCCTTTTTCTTTGACTGGTTGCGGACAGGTAAGAGAAAAACAGCGCACATTTTCACTGTCCCTCTTATAATAGTGGACCAGTCTCTTAACTTGAAGCGCTTTGTTCCTTTACCATGCAGGTTGTCTGTTCGACTCGTGTTTCCCTGGAACAACAAGATTGTTCAGGCTTGCCGTGCCACGCTCGTCCGACTGACAAGTAGCCTTTTTCTTTGACTGGTTGCGGACAGGTAAGAGAAAAACAGCGCACATTTTCACTGTCCCTCTTATAATAGTGGACCAGTCTCTTAACTTGAAGTGCTTTGTTCCTTTACCATGCAGGTTGTCTGTTCGACTCGTGTTTCCCTGGAACAACAAGATTGTTCGGGATTGCCGTGCCACGCTCGTCCGACTGACAAGTAGCCTTTTTCTTTGACTGGTTGCGGACAGGTAAGAGAAAAACAGCGCACATTTTCACTGTCCCTCTTATAATAGTGGACCAGTCTCTTAACTTGAAGTGCTTTGTTCCTTTACCATGCAGGTTGTCTGTTCGACTCGTGTTTCCCTGGAACAACAAGATTCTTCGGGATTGCCGTGCCACGCTCGTCCGACTGACAAGTAGCCTTTTTCTTTGACTGGTTGCGGACAGGTAAGAGAAAAACAGCGCACATTTTCACTGTCCCTCTTATAATAGTGGACCAGTCTCTTAACTTGAAGTGCTTTCTTCCTTTACCATGCAGGTTGTCTGTTCGACTCGTGTTTCCCTG